CCGGGCTGAGGCTAGGTCACCATGCAGTGCCGTGTGACCTCAGTGGGACTTACCCTTCTTTGTGTGAAAAGGGATCTGTTGATTCCGAGTCAACACAGTAAGAGTCAAGCGCCCATACTCCTGTCCCAAGTGGGAAGAGCCAGGCTTCTCTTCCCCACTGCTTCCCTGCTTTTGGACAGCTCTGACTAATGCAGTGACTTTCCTTTTTCAGAGACAAAAGGGCTGCTCAGACCCCAGACTATCTGCTGTTCAGTCCATAGGGTACTTGGAGCCCTTCTGCAGGCTATGTGGCAACCAGCCCTGCCCCTCCTCCCCTGTCACTCTCCAGTCTCCACCCAGTGTGTGTCATAGTCAGCAGGGCTGGGATATCAACAGCTCCCCTGCTGTGGGACCCTGATCACACTGTGGATTGCTGTCACTTATCTGGTTAACCCGTTGCCATAGCAGCTACCCACACTTGGCCCCATGACCAGCCTCACACTTCTCTGCTGTGGGAAGAGTGGCCCGGAGCAGATACCTTTGCCTAGAATGGGACAGGGGCCATCCAGAGCCACCAGACTCCTCTGATGAAGAGATTGGGCCTGGAAAACTGTACTGAATCCATCCTAGCCCTGCAGCTAAGTGCTGTGACTCTTTAAGCTCAGGGGACCTTGAGAGACTGCATGGCACACGGCCCATGTCACAGCAGCCAGCCCATGGAACTGTCTTTTCATGGGTCTGTGTTGCTCACTGGAAGAGGAGCTCCCTGAGGCTGGGAACCTTTTCTTTCTCTCTAGCTCCCAGCCCAGGCCTTACCTAGCAACAGCAGGGGCTCAATGCTGCTTCCTGAACTGATGGATAAATGGTCAATGTCCCTCTGGGCCTTGCCATGTGCTGTTTGCAGGGTTGTGTGCTTATCAACTAATATCATGCGTACAACCACCATGCAAGAGAAGTGTTGTTCATCACCCAACTCTATAGGTGAGAAAACCAAGGTACCAAAAGATAAAAACTTGTCCAAGCTGCTACAGTTAGCAAGTGAGAGAAACCAGGCATTGAACTCTGACAACCTACACAGTTATTCAGTTATACTCTTCAATTTCCAGCTCCTATGGCAGGGGTAGCCTGAGATCTCTCATAACAAAGATGAGAGAATGGCAACACCCATTAGGGTTTGAGAGGAAACTTGTGCCAGGCTACCTGGACACAGCTACAAGAGTCCCATGGGAGGAACAAATGCTTTTTTAAACAACAAAATCCATGAGGAAATGATGGTGGGGCAAGTGAGGGGTGGGGTATCATGAAACGAGATTGGTTACCTATTGACAATTGTTCAGCTATAGATATGTGAGGTTCTCTCCGCCACCCTCTCTTCCTTTGTATGTGTTTACGCTTTTCTGTAATGAAAAATTTTAGTTTTCTAAATAAAATAAAATGAAGCCCACATAAACCACCACCTTGCCGACTATCTTGTCTCTTTCATTCCCAGCTCCCTCCTTCCCCTTCAGGTCTGCCTCTGAGAGTCCTCCAGACAGGTTTATGTGACTGTCCCTCTCTTCTTGACTTATTTTGTCTTTGTGTCTGCTATTTTCTCTAACTCTCTGGGAATCAGAAAAAAGACTGTACTGACAGGCACACATATACATCCTGGTTTTGTTCCATTTTGTGTCATTTTTCTCCCAAGACCACTCTCTCTGTTCTCTTCTCCTTCCTTTGACCTCTCCATTCATCCTGAACTCATGTACAGTTGGGCATGGTCAGCTCCTGGCTTGTGCCCTCCATTAGAGGATGTGTATGCAGTGTCTTCACACAAGTCTGAGTTCAGAGAATGCTACTATTAAAAAAATTGATGCTAGAAAAAGACAAAAGTACATTTTTCTACTCCCTACCTGTTATAATTTGAGTCTTAAATGCCCCCCCAATCTCCTGTGTTCAGATTTGGTCTCCATTTGATGGCATTATTGGAAGGTGGAGCCTGGTTGAAAGAAGTAGGTCGTTGGGAAGTGCCTTGAAGAGTATGTTGGCTCTTTGACCACTTTGTTTCTTGGCCGTCATGAGGTGAGCAACTGTCCTCCACTACACTTCTGCTGTGGTGTTCTACCTTGTCACGAGCCAAAGGCAGCTACTTCAGGGTGAAAGCCAGCCACAATAAATCTTTCCTCCTTTTGAACTAATTTCCTCAGGCATTTTAACATACTATTATTCTTAACTGGCCAATAAAGCAACTCTCCCTCATTTCTTTGCACTGAATAAAAAATAACAGTAATAACAGGTATTATTTATTGAGTGTTTGCCGTGTACCATGTGAGTTATTATCTCACTTAACCCTTTCGCAACCTATGGAGCATTATTCCCACTTCACAGAAAATAAAACTGAGGTTTTAGAGAGGTTAAGTCAAAGCCCAAAGTTGCTCAGCTGAGTGGCAGAGCTGGAATTGAAATACTTCTTATATTTTCTAAACAGGAAACATCCAGGAACTAAAAGCACATTAGGATATTGATAAAGGTTTCACATCTAGGGGCCTCAGAGGGGACAGCGAACCTGTACTCTTGGCTAGTAGAAAAATCTGAACACGCTCAGGCCTGTGTCTTGAGAAGAGGGCTCCAAAAAGCTGTAGCATATCCCAGGAGACAACTGTGATGGGGAGAGTCCTGAGGGACAGATGAAGGCTGGCTTTATAATAATGCCACTGGCTCAGACAGAGGGCACAATTGGCACAGGGGTGGACCGGGTTCTCTGGGCCCAGACACAGGGCCCACTGCCTGTTTCCTGGGTGTCTGTTGCTAGGTGTCCCATAGGCTCCCCAGTCCACCTGCCCCAACTGAACACCTCCCCACCTGGTCCTCCTCTGGAGTCCTCATCTCAGCAAAGGTTACCCCCCACATGCTTACTAGCCCACATCAGACACCCAGTAGCACCCCTCTTCTTCCTCTCCAATCCCTGCTGTATCCAGTCAGGTCTGCCCATGCCCACAGCCACTGCCTTAGTCTTAGCCGCTAATCTTCATCGAGACCCTTACAGTAGCCTCCTGTCCCATCTCCTACCTCCACCCCATTTCCCACTCAGCAGTCCAAAGGGATCTTCGTGAAACTCCACACTGACCACACTGGTCCGCTCTTGCCTCAGCCTGTCCCTTTCTCTCCCAGCCATGGAGCACCCCCTGGAGAGAAAGTGACCAGGTCTCTCAGACTCTCCAGTTCCATTTTTCCACCACCTCTGGCTGACTCCATGCCCTCTGTCCACCTGTCCTACAAGGTCCCTTCTGGTCTGGTCTTTTCCATCTGCTTCCCTCTTTCCTGTGCCTGGGTCTCCATGTATCTTTGTAAAGTGACATTTATCATGCCTGGCTATGGTTTTTATGGCTCCCTCTAATTTTTATTCTCTACTGTATCCCTTGATGTACTAAACAGATGCTATGACACCAGGAGGCAGTGATCCTACCATGTTTCCCAGAAAATAAGCCCTAACTAGAGATAAATATGCCAGCCCCAGTCAACCTGTCCTCACCTTTATTATCACTGTGGAGTAGCCAACAGGCAAGAGAGTGGTGAGGTATAATATTTGCATGATACTGGCCATCACCATGGTAACAACCAGCTATTAATTACAGCTGAGTTTAATTTCTAGTTAGGTCTTATTTTCAAGGAAACACAGTTTTTCTTGTTATATCCTGGAATCACCTTTTCAGTTCTTCATCACAAACATTTACAGGTTAGAGTAAGAATTCTTAATTACTGTCATCTGGGCAGGACTTTACAGATCTACAGTTCTTTCCCATTCTTGTTCTCGTGTGGTCTTCACGAAGCTGTGGGTTAATCTCATCTCTGTTAGAATGGTTATTTTCAGAAAGAGAACATAAAACAGGAGTTAGTGAAGATGCAGAGAAAAGGGAATTCTTACATGCTGTTGGTAAGGATGGAAATTAGTGCAATCATTTTTTAAAACAATATGAAGGTTCCTCAAAAATTAAAAAAAGCACTACCAGGCTGGAGTAGCTCAGTGGTGCCTCACCTGCCTGGCAAGCACAAGGTCCTGAGTTTAGTACCTGGCAGTGAAAAAAAAAATAGCACTACCATAAGAACCAACTATCCCACTACTGGGTACATAATCAAAATAAATGAAATTGGTATATCAAAAGATCCCATGTTTATTGCAATGCTAATTCCAATAGCAAAGATATGAGATCAAGCTAAAGATCCAAACAATGGGTAAATGGGTAAAGGATGGAATACTGTTCAGCCTTAAAAAGGAAATCCTGTCACTTGAGAAAATGTGGATACACCTGAAAGGAATCACGTCTAAGTGAAATTAGCCAAACACAGAAAGACAAATACTGTACAATGTGAACTCACTCGTGTGTAGAATTTAAAAGGGACTGATCTCATAGAAGTACAAAGTAGAACAGAAGGGAGGAGGGCGAAGGTGGAAAGGGGTTGATCGGGGGTACAAAGTTATAGTTAGATAGGAGGAATCAGTTCTGTGTTCCATTGTACAGAAGGGTGACTATGGCTAACAATAAGGTACTATATATTTCAAAACAGCTAGAAGAGGGTTCTTTTATTGTCCTCCCCATGAAGAAATGATAAATGTAGGAGGTGATGGATATGCTAATTTGATCAATGAGCAATGTATACATGAATTAAACATCATATTGTACCCCATAAATATATACAATTAGACAATTAGAAAGCATCACTTAAAAAGTAAAGCTGTGAGTCAGGTAAAACAGAAGTCATTACACACAATTAACAGATGAAGAAACTGAGGCCAGAAACTGCAGAACCAGGATTCAAACTAAAGATCTTCTAACTGAACATGGGCTCTGCTCACTCCACTCTATAACTTTGAACTGAAGAGGAAAGGAAGTCTATTCACTGACCCCGGAACCCACCCATGATTCTTTCCTCCACGCCACTGCTCTTCTCCCAGTTTCTATTAGTCATCAACATCACAGGAGACACTTGCCTGGAGCAGGCCCTGTCCCGGATGATGAGTCCCAGCCCAGCCCCCAAACACACACCTTGCATTTGTGACAAACATCTTGCTGAAGAGCACAGCCCACAGGCCTGGTGGGCACAGCTCTGGCAGATGAAGCTCCTCTGGATTGTTCTTTGGGCTCCTGAGGCTCTTGGTTATGATGGCTTCTGTTGAGCTGGTCTTCTATCTAGTTCTGTCTGTGGTGCCCCAAAACTGAGAAAACAAGCAAACATCCGGTCAAATATTTACCTGAGAAATGAAAGAAGGCAGGCAGCCCTCTTCCTTGCTTCACAACTTGGCTGGTTCTGCTCTTTCTCTTCTGCTTATGCTGCAAAACCACAAACGTCTCTCCTTATGCTTCTCCCCCGACCCTTGCTGCTGACCTTTTTAGTCCCTGCTTGTGGCACTGGCTCCTGAGCTCTCGGAGCTTTGCCTGGAAGCTGTGCCCCTTTGACTAGCTGTAAAAATTATGACAGTCAATAAACTAGGACTCTGCTTCAAGGCAATAAACCAAGACCTCTGGCTTATGGTCTCCTTGGATATTAGGTGGCCCATTGCTGGAGGAAGGGGTTGGAGACAAGTTCAAAACTAAACCCACCCTCATGGCAGAGTGGACTAGTTGCTTCCAAGTATTCATCTTCTCAGAGGAAAGCAAGGCTGTTGCTGGGTAGGGTCTTTCCAGCCAGGGCCATTCTCTGGCCACCCTGGCATCTAGAAACAAACGTAAGACAAGGTATCCCTGGGGAATACGAGTGGAAGTGATGGGTCGACATAGTTAAGACGCAAGGGTGTCTTTGCTACTTTCTTCTCTCCCATCTGCTGGTTGGACTCCAAGTCTCTACAGGAAGCCAATTATAAGAGTTAAGGAGCCTTGGGCTGGGGATGGAGCTCAGTGGCTTTGTACGGATATTTTCAATTCTTGGATGATCAGTGCAGTTTTCTCAGAATTCCACAATTATTTTCTGCCTACTACAAAGAAAGAGTCATTATTAAATTGTCTCTGGCCACCCAGGGAAACTGGGAAGCAGTCACACTGAAATAAAGACAAGTGATGCTCACAGATGCTCACGTGGAAAATTTTATCCACAGCAATAAGGACCCATTTCGGAGGGGTTGGCCTGCCCTATGCACAGCCCCTTTGAACCTGGTGGCAGCTCTATGGGGTGGATTTCTTTCCCCTCTGTCAGGTTTTCTTTCCCCTCTCAGTTTTCTCAGTGTTGAATCCTACATAGAACTTGACATGCATTTCTACAACATTTCAACATTTGATTTCTCTCCACAGTGCCAACCTATGCAAGCCTCTTTGAATATCACTTCATCTATCCAATGCACATTAGTTCCTTTCTGGTCATGGAGAATTGGAAGACTGTTTCTGAGTTCATCCAGGTTATTACTGAAAACACTCAACAGAGCAGAGCTCCATGGTACTCCACTGGGACCTCTTGCCAGGAGCTATGGAGGATGCTGCAGGTTAGCAGAGTGTGAGGAGAGGTGATGGATACACCAGAACCCAGTTTAGGAAGAGTTACTATACATTTCTACAGACACAACTTTTAGTATTTATACATCTTTTTATGAAAAACGAAACATTTCATAACAACACAGCAAGAGAATAACAACAGTTAATATACTGTGTATTGTTATCTGCAAAGTGAGTTACTGTATTTGACCCCCACACTTAGGGAGGTTCAGAGTTTGACAGTGCCACGGCAGGAAACTGAAGAGTGTGTCACAATGGTTGTGCTTGTCTCCTGGGTGTTAGGACCTTATCTCAGGACAGCTTCTATTTAGTCTATGGAGATGTGGCTTAATTATTAAATTCAGAAGCAAAAGCACTCAGAGGTCTGGAATATCTGGTACAACTTCTCTAATTAATACTAATGGCTTTCTGGGGTGGGAAAGATAAATGACTAGGGACTATTTTACTGTCTTTGAAAGGAACGAAGCTAATTTCTGTTCTGATCCTTCTCTGCCCATAAACAGGCCTCCCTCCCACCTCCCCCTGCTAGTAGAATGAAGCAAACTGCAAACTGGGAGGTCAGTGACCTTTGCGACCTGGCCCCAAACTATCTTTCTAATCTATTTGAGATAAGACCCGACTCTGGATAAATGCTCAGGGGAGCTGGGACTAGACTCTCAGGCCCCACCACCTCTCCTCTCCCCACTCATTCACTCATATCCCGAATGTTTATAAGGTACCTATATACAACACACTGTGCTAGTCCCTGAGGACAGACACTCTTGGGACATACACACCTCATTCCCTCTTTCCAGCTTGCAGTCAGCACGGCATCCTCCCTGTCCTCCCTGGGGAGGGCTCTAGTGTTTGGCAATTTCTCCCACACGGAATGTGAAGAACGAGGGAAGAGATGACTGTACCACGGAGCAGGCAGGGACAAATTACTATGTTGGAGCCACATGAGGGAAAGGCAAAAGCAGAAGTTCGGGTGTGTAAGAGCTACTTCTAGTACCAGGAGTGGGATCCACTTAAACTGAAGGCCAACCATGTGCAGGAGAAAGAGCCCTCGGCCGGAACACCTGGAAACCTGGGTCTTTGCCTCAGCTCTTCCCTAACAGCTGTGTGACTGCTATGGTTTGAATCTGGTTTGTTCCCTCCAAAAATCATGTTGAACTTTGCCTGTGTGGTCCTGGTTGAGGATCTTCCAGTGGCGATTAGGCTGTTAAGTGGGGTCAACACATTTCTCTTGTGAGTCTTCACTCTCATAGGACTGGATTAGTTACTGACAGAGCTCGTCATTACAAAGCAAGTCTCCTTCGTTTTGCCTCTTTCACAATGCCTGCTTTTTATTTTGCTTTCTGCAATGAGTCAAAGCAGCACAAGGCTCTCTCTCAAAGCCAAGAAGATGCCAGTGCCATGATCTTGGACATACTAGCCACTAGAACTGTAGATCAAAATTAACATTTTTATTTATAAATTAGCCACTCTCCAATATTCTGCAAACCAAGACAGCAAACTGTGCCAGTCCCTTCTGATCCTGTATGCTCTAGTTGCCTGCTGTTCACTAATATTGCCAGTGGTGACTCCTAAAATCCCTTTTCCCTATGTGAGCCAGCTCAGGTGTCATCTCTGAAGCCTTCCTTGACCCCCCCCTCCCACGGATCCCATTTCTGCAGGCAGATACACCTGTGAGCAGTGGATGATTTCTGGGTGAATTTGTTCCCTCCACCTAACTAAGTCCTCCTTGTCCCAATACTCTGGTTCATAATCCTTAGGAAAGTGTACTTGTGTACAGTGCACACATCTGTAATCTCAGCACTCTGGGAGGCTTGAGGTAGAAGGATCACAAGGTCAAGCCTAGTCTGGACATTTAGCCAGTTAGTGAGACCCTGCTTAAAAATTTTTAAAAGGGCTGGAATGTAGTTCAGTGCCAAGGACTAGGTTCAATCCTCAGTACCAAAAGGGGGAAAAAAAGAGGAAAAATGTACAGCATTGAATTTATTGATAAGAGAAATATTCCTAGATCTGTAATTCTGACATTGTCCACAAGGTGGAGAGTTTCTACAGATGGTCACAGCAGAAACAGGGCTTGGATACAATAGCCCTTGGAAGATGCAGAAGGGACCAGGAAGGTCTTTCCTCAGCGACCTATTATTTTCTGGTCCCTCAGAGGCTCTGAGCTGGCCCCTTCCACTCTGCCCATAAAGTGCCAATATATCAGACAGCAACACAGGCCTGAACCACTGTGACCCAGCCTGGCCCCACTATGTTCACACTTTTCTGCTGCCTGGACCAGGTTGGAAATCTAGCCCTGGCTGGTGACCTCCTTGCCAACCTCTCAGGCCTCACTCTCCCTTCCCAATCCCCACTGTGCCACCACGGCCCCCAGGGCTGCAGCTGCACCTGCACCAACCTCTCTCCTGGATCCTGATGTCACTGTGCTTTTTCTGGTCTTCCTGCCTCTCACACTGCTGCCTCCACTAGATTCCCTCCCTCCACCTTCCTTCCAGGCCACACCTTCTGGCTCTTTGAAATTCAGGTTAGGAGGTGCCTTTTCCAGAAAGCTTTCCTGGATTCTCTTTCCCCAACACTTTTCCATAGTAATGTTTATTGCTTCCTCAGCTGCCACCCTCAGGATACCATGTTGCTCACACAGTGAATGGCCTTCATTTCCATGGTCCTGCACCCAGCACAAGCCTGGCATGGAGTGGTAGGGCCTATAAGGAAGAATAAATCAATAAATCTATAAATTAAGAGGTATGATGTAGAGAGGCGAACTGAGAAGCACACTCCTCCCCAGTAGGAGAGACATTTGAAAATAGGGGAAACACTACTTCTATGTTGACTCTGACTCAGGCAGTAGCCAATGAATGCTCTTTTGCACATAATGACATATTATTATTTTTGAAAGGAGTAGAACCAAAGGCACGTTCAAAGAAGACACATACTTTCCTCAGAGGAAACCAGGGTGTCTTTTAAGAAAATGAATCGTCAGGTTCACAAGAAGACCTGTCTTGTTATTTGTAAGGAGACCAGTAGTAGATGTTTTATTCACCATAAGAAAGGAAAATCCATAGGCTTCCACGTGGCCCTGCCTCTCATCATGGCCCTAACTCCACATATCACAGAATCACCTTGAGATTTATGTATCTGTTCAGTCCGGAACTGGGAAAGTAACCACAGGGTGGGTAACTGGGATTGAACTTGGACACCAAGTGCCATGAGTCTCAGTCACCTTGATTGTGGTTCACTGTAAAAGATGGTCAGACGGCCCTTTGGTGAGGATGTACAGGGGAGTACAGAATACATTCATACTTCATTAAGTGGACTCAGTCTCCCTTTCAAATAAGGGACTCTGAGTCTAGACTCGGTTTGAAAAGTAGACAAGAGACCCTGTCTCCACAGTGACAATTCAGATCAATCTTTGAACACCAGACATGGAGCTTTTCCTGTTATACAGAGCATGTAACATTTCAGTAGGATTCACATGTATGCTGTTCATAGGTAATGGTTAATTTTGATTGTCAACTTGATTAGCTTGACACCTAGCAGATTAGTAGGTGTGTCTGGGTGAGCCATAGGGGCATAACCTTGGGGACTATATTTGGTCCCTGGCCTCTTCTTTGGCTCTTCCCTTGCCTGCTCTGCTTCATGGCTGCCTTGAGGTGAGCAGCTTTCCTTTGCCATGGTCTTCCACCCTGAAGTTCTTGACTCAAAGCCAGCCGATTATGGACTGAAACCTCTGAAACCACAAACCAAAATAACTCCTTTCCCCTTGATGTTGTGTATGTCAGACATATTTGTTCTGGAAAGAAGCTGACCAATACACTAGGAGTACCGTGGCAATCAGCCTCTGCCAAAGGTTCCTAGAGTTGAAAACATTGTCACACCCATCTCATCCTATTACCTATGATGGGACATGTGCTCTGCTGTGTCTTCAGCAGTTAAATGCTACCACGCACAGCCCATCTCAATGGCAGGATTTCTTGTCATCATATGTGGCTGAGGACACAGAAGAGAGTCACCACAAGCTTTGTAAGGATGCTAATTTCTCAATGTCACAGAGAAGAGTATGTCCTCTGGGGCCCCTTGGGAAATGTAGTGCTGGATGGGTACACAGGTTGTTCATAATAAATCTATTCCAAAATCTCCCTAAGCCTTTTCATTCCCTCACATATAACACACCAAGGAAGTTCTGGAATCTCAATGTCATTATACAGAGGCCATTGTTGAGTCCTAATCTCGCACCATCAGCTAAGTAAACTGTGGGGCCACCTCCTGCTACACAAACCAATGTGCTGAGTCCAGAGTCTCCACTTGACAGAGCTGCAGTCTGTTCTCCTCATGGGGCCCTTGGAATCCATCCATGCATGTACCCCTCAGGCTGTACAGCGATGCAGTGAACTCTTGTCCTTCTTTTCAGAAGCTTTATCTTCCCAGGGCAGACTTTGAACTTGTCCTGCTCAAGCATATCTGATGTGCACTGAGAGTCTAGAAGCCACAAGAGGTAAGTTCTGAAAGAAAAGGTGTCCCGTGTAAGGTACGTGCCCAAGATCACCTTCTTACCCAAGGGAAAGACACAATGGACAAATCAGATATGATGGACAAGGGAAGCTCAAAGTGACCAAGAGTTCGGGGTGTTCAGTTTCATTAGCACCCACCCAAATATCTCACTCCAGTCTTAGTTCTTACTTCCTCCTAACTGACATCCTAATTTTCACACAGGACAGTGGCAAGGCTGTGAATTCAAATTATATCACAATTCTGCAACTCATACAGTTTAACTGTACTTGTCATTTTCACCGGTACTGATCCTGCAGCCACAAGAAGTGCATTTTGTTATTTTATATATAGTTTACATGAAATTTATACATATAAATTATATATAAATAATGTCAGTTATATAATTCACATTATTACTGGTGCTGATTAAGTTTCTGGTTGTGATTTATCCTTGAGGGTTGTTTCCTAGGACCACTCTTCGTCAATATATCCCTCAAGGGCTACTCAGGTGAAAAACAATTTAATGTAAGTAATTATTAACTAGGTATTGGAGGTAGCAATTGTGGGAAACAGCTACTAGGATTAGGGCAGGGAAAACACAGGGAAGGCTAGAATGATTAAAACTTAAAAGAATACAGAAGGGGATGCTTGGAGCTGAAACCTTATCGGGGGTGCACTGCCCTGCTGACTGGAACATCTGAGCTTGGCCTGAACTCCAGAACCCCACCAGCACTATGTGAGCCTCAGAATCTCTGTTTATCTCAGTGCAGGCAGCCTGCATCTGCCAGGTCCCCAAGTCTTGCTCTAAACATACGTAGTATAGAGTTAGCAAAAGTCTGAGACTTCTGGGATTCCCTCTTGGTGGCTCTTCCTCCTTTTATGTCCTGTATCTCCAAATCCCAGATGCCCCAGACCTGAACTCTGACATCTCTACCTCCTCTGTCCAGCTGGACCTGGAGAACCTGCTTGGTCCATGTCCCTGTTTCGAGACTGGCACATATCCCCAGGAAGGAAGATGTGAGGCTCACATCCTATCCTCTCCAGGACCACAGTCCTGAGTCAGAACACTGTCCAGTGCATACCCCTAGGTGTTTGAGTCATCTTGTTCAGGTTTTATAGTTGTTCACACAGGAGTAAAAAACTCTATTATCCTTTGTCTGCTCAGCACCTGAATTTCCATCTTTGCAGGGCTGTGCATCCTGCTGCATTCCCTCATACATAGAACTCAAGCAAAATCTGTCCCTCAACAACCCCACCCCTCATTCACAGGGCTTTATTCTGGGAACTCACCTGTCCTTCCGCTCCAAAGACAGGGGTATGAGGTCCCCTCTTCCTGAGCAGGGCTATGAATAGTATGAGACTCAAATGCTTAGCTCATTGATGGAGAGGCCTCTTCTCACTTAAGCTCCTGTCCTCTTCCTCTGCTTTGGAGAGAACCATAAGGATAGGGACACCTGCCATATATATCAATGCCAGAAGGGATGAATGGACATTCAACACCCACTTCAGCAGCTGCTGGGTGTTTCTGCATCCATTTTACGTGGGTCATTAACCAGTCTTGTGTTGTCTTGTGTGGGGTGTCCAGCCTCTGAGCAGAGGAGACAGAAAGTCACACCCATCCTTGCTGCTAAATCACTTCTCTGGGTTCAAGGGACCTGAGTCCCCTTCCCTTCTGGGAGAATTCATTCCCCTTGTTCCCATCATCCAATGGGGCACCTAGTGTGGTCCACATTGTTAGCTGGCATCCTGGGAACCAGAGAGAAGGAAGTGATATGCCTGCTGGGTTCTGGCCTGGCCAGTGATTTAAAGAGGAATTAGACATTGCTGATCACCTTCAAAGCTTTGGAATGATTTTCCCACCCAGATACTCAGACTTTGATGTTCCAGGCTCAGGGTTGAAAAAGAGGTCTTTTGCTTTCATTCTGAGTCATTATGCATATATAATGCTCCCCCTCCCATTTAAAAGGAATGTAGATCATATGTAAATGTGCTTCTGTGTGATTGTATATCCAATCCTGCATAATTAATTTCATGATAATGGAATCATTCAGTTACTGGTCCCTCAATGTTTGCATAAAAAGCAGGTAAATCATTCCTGTATATATGTTATGTCCAGGCCTAATCCAAGTTCAGGTTTTGTACTATGGGAATTGTGGTTCAATTTGAGGAACTTAAAGATCACCTCATTCAATTCCTAATATTCACTCCCTCCATGCACCTTGCTGAGACTCATCCTTGAATTTTTCCACTGACAAGGAGCTCACTATCTGTGGAGCAAGCAGCCTATTTTCTCTTTGAACAACCACGAACCATTAACAAAGTTTCAACTTACCAGGAAGGATGTCCTGAAAAGCAGCACAGAGTTTGTTTCTTTCATTTCCAAATTCTACTGTGTTCCATTAACATTATAAAGGTCTTCTTCAAAGGGAAATAAAAAGAATTAAGATGCATTATATCATGTACAGTAAGCCACCAACTTACAAACATTTGAGTCACGAACTTTCACAGGTACTAATGGACCTCATATTTGGTTTTTTTATGCTTTACATTGTATATTTGTGTCAAAGGTGTATAAGACTCACTTTATCAAACTTATGAACAAATCTGACCTATGAACATTCTCCTGGAACAGAAGTTGTTCAAAAGTCAGGGACTTACTCTATGATGAATATAATCATTACACTCTGCAAACATGTACTAATTTTTAAAAATGTTTTCTTCAAATTGTTAAACAATCTTAAAAATTTTGCATTTAAATACATTAACACATTTATATATACTCCATCATATTAGATGTGTGTTTTATAGTTACCATTTCACTAAATAATATATTATAAGCATCTTTTCATTTCAATTAACCTACATTTCCTTCCTCATGTTCAGGGCTTACATAATTCTCTCTTGTTATATGGACCATAATTTATTTAATAATGCCTGTCAGTAGCATTTAAGTTGTTTCCCAGTTTATCCTCTAGTGACCAACACTGGGATGAAATTTTCACACAAAGTGATTATTCCTTGGAGAGATTTATAGAAGGACACAGAGGCATGAGGGCTGTGAACATGCTAAAGGGCCGTTCCTGGTAAAGAGAGCAGCCTCCTGGTAGGAAGCAAGCCTTGATAAGTCCTAAAGCTGTGCAGAGTCCTTACCAACACCGTTGTCCTGTTTATTTCTTACCACTCATCCTTTCCTCGTCTCCTACATGGTGCCCGACCATCCCTGCTCTCTGTGGCTGCAGTGGACTGGCCAGAAGGCTCTGCTCTGACCACCACATACATAAAGTGGCCTCCAGAAGGGCTCCTTTCTGAGGGTAATGACACCCCCTTAAAGACTGAAAATTAGGAAAGAATTGGACTCGCAAAGCAAAATCAGCATCTTCCAAGAGTTCTGTAACTGGTCTTCCCAGGCTTTCTCCATCTCTAGGAGATCAGCAAAAAGGAATAAAATAGCACAGGGCAAATGAAGGGTGGGATAGAAGAAATAAAAAAAATAGGTAGAGAGGAGACCAGAAAAACTATAATTTTAAAACAGTACTTCTAAGAAAACTGCCGATTCAGGACACAAAGTTACCCAAGGTTACAATGCCTTCTTACACTCACACCCTGCTTTTTGCTACCAAACTAGTCTCTCCTAAATTCCTAGGAATGTCAGAAAAGATACAGTAAATCTATAAACTGGGCCCATGCTTTTCTCCTGTAAATTGGGGCTGTAAATCAGCTTTTCTTCGTGTACTAGAGATTCACAAATTCCACAGACTTTAAACCTCAGAGGAAACAGGACCATTAATTGGGTACCACAGTTCTAAACTTCAAATACATGCAAATGTTTTGCATTCTAAGTAGCCCACTAATGGGTAGCCTAACACACATTGTGAATGCACATCCTACATCACCCATCCTAATGACATCCCCAAGACCTTAGAAATATGAACCCTGAACCACAAATCATAAGGTGCCCCACTCACCCTTCAAAAGACCATACCCTGTGTGTGTACTTCTTGATTCTGCTTAATAAAGATGTCTATGCCTCTCACTGACAAATGCTCTTCTGTGACAAAAGTCTACAAACTTACTTCACGGAAGGGGAGGAGAGTTGTGGTGCTCAACTCCTCTCTGGGGAGGTCTCCTAGCACCCCGTCAGGTGACAGAGGAGAAGGCAGGAAAAGTCTCCCATAAAGCCAAGTCAGCCAGTTCCACTCCCCATCCAAAGTTGTCACCTGGCCAGATGTCAAATTCCAGCAACCAGGATTCCCTCCATGCAGGGCTGGGGCACATAATTAACTGACCACAAGAATCTTCATCTTCATAGCACGCTTTGTCCACTAAACCACAGGTGTGTGGCCACTTGTGCACCAGGACTTCATCAGAGTGTTACCTGTAGCAACAAAAGGATTGCACACAACTGGTTAATTAAATAATTCTAATTTTGTGCACCTAAACACCGTGCAAAGTTAAAATGCTCCAGCTCACTTCACATGAACTCCAAAATACATCATCTTGTCTTGTTGTCAACAAAGTCACTGTTGATCATATCCTACACCAGGACTTAACGTAGCATTAAGAAACACACGCAATGAGGCCAGGGATTTAGCTCAGTGGCACCGTGCCTGCCTCAAAAGCCCAAGGTCCTGAGTTAGATTCATGGCACAAAAAAAAGGAAGAAAGAGGTGGGGAGGGAGAGAGAAAGAAATAGAAAAGAAAGGAAAGGAAAAGAAGGGGAGGGGAGGAGAGGGGAGGAAAGGGGAGGGAATGGAAAAGAAACACACAGCCAATGAGGCTGTGCTCCCATTGTCCTAAAAGGGACCTAATTTCAGGAATGATAAGAAGCTGGGAAGCCACATATGTGCAACAACGCAAGAGCAGAGTAGCGTGTAGCTCCGTAGCTCCATGGGTATGCGTTCAAAAGTGGGCGAAGGATCATACACTCATTCATGGTTTTACAGGGATAGTTAATTCCTGAAAGATGCCCAAAACCCTGACAGCAAGAGCAACTTCTGTGAGCCAGGTTAGGAGACTGGGACACAGAGTGGAAGGGAAACACTTTTCATCATTCATCTGCTCATAAAATCTGGCATTTTAAACCATACATTATCTTTAAAAATAAAACTCTTAAAGCAACGAAAAACAAAATAACGCAACCCTCAAGGACGATTAAGAGGCATAACATTTGGAAGTAGTCCTGGATGTGAAGACCGGACATCCAATCCTGACTCTACCCTAGCGACCTCGGACAAGCTCCTGGCCAGACTGGGTCTCAGTTTCCCCAAGAGCCCAACAGATGTAGGCGAGCTGGTCTGGCGACATCTTCCTAGCTCGGGGTCCCGGACCGGCCCGGCGTCC